TCGAAATTTAAGGAACTGTTATTATTCTTTACAGAATCTGGTAGACCGGACATGAAATTGGCAGTTGATTGGACGTCTGACAGCTCATAGTTAACGGACATTTTCGAGAGAAGGTAACCTAACATTTCTTATCAACAATCTCATTTCTAAAGTGAAATCTATTCTGATAAGATGCACTTTTTTCCTCAAAATTGTTTTCAATAACTGGAAACCCAAATTATTGCATCAATGAAAATAATCATCGTTGATTTTCATTCATCAATATTCTGTTTTCATCAGTTTTTTCAACTAATATTTGGACATTCAATCTTGTGATTTTTCCATGGCAGTTTTTCTCAGAGCTGAATTATTTCATCAAAAAGATACATTGATCCCATGAAACAAACTTGTGGAATTTTATCATAGGTATGAAAAAGATAAACACTTTTCCATAGTGATAAGTTCCTCAAAATTTTATTTAACAGCTGTTTGATCTTGCTAAAATTGAAAGAATTTTTCTCTTATTTTGTTCAAAAAAAGAATGGATCTCGTGTATTTTTTTCTCAATACCTGAATGGAGAAATTATTTCCTTAGAAAGGAAAATTTTATCCAATTTGATGTTACAGAAAAGAATAAATCTCCGTGAAATGATTGTTCATTTCATATTCATCTTCCGATTTAGGACATGCTTTTTTTTCATACAAAACCAAGAACCTTTTGCTTGGTAAGTAGTGATTTAAAAAAAATTAAAAAATTGAAATTTCACGTCAAAAATATTGTGGTCCTGAATAGCTTGTGATTTATTTTTGTGTTCAGCACAAACATTGAAAATCAGTTTCACCTGTTTCCTCTTTCTGTTCCATGAATTTTTATATGATTTTTAGAAATTTCACGTCCAAAAAACTGTCATTTTGCCCTGAAGTAAATTTGCTTCTTCTTCAAATGAAGAAAATTGTCAATTAATTTCAATTTTTATTCTAAATGAATAACTGATTTCTTCAACGTAGTTTCCACAAAAAAAATGTCAATCTAGAAGGTCTTGAAGATTGTTTTCATTTAGGCATTGCAAAACTTCAAATAGGTAAGTAAATCGGAGAAAATGCCCCTAAAAAGGTGTGAAAAGCAATAAAATAATATCTCATATTGATTTTTCGAATTGAATCTATGTTTTGTTGGTAGTCTAATAATTTTTTTAAAACAAACTCGATAAATGCAAAATCCTGAGGGAGCCAAAACTCAGCGTTCATTTTAAATAGTATAAAATATCACATGTCACATTTTTATAGTTAAAAAATAAAATATTGAACACGAACGCGCTTTTTCCATTCAAACAATCAGAGGGAACAGAATTGTTCAATTTTTAGGATTCTATAAAACTTTATATTTTATATACATGACTTGAAAAAAATGAATACTTGCTTATACTCAACTCTTCTGAAACAAAACAAAACTTAAATTTCGACATATTGCAACTTTACTGATTGCCATTCTCATTACAAAGAAAATAATTTGTTCTTCACCATAACTAAAAAATAATACTAACTTGTCAAACAATTAACCTTAATTCGTTTTCAGATAATCAGCTCTCCAATAAAAGTGAAAAATATTTTATACATGCATAGAAACCAAAAATTGTTTCTTATAATTCAAGAATTTATTCATTGCTTGTTTAAAAAATCCTAGTAGAAATCCTCCATTCTCCCCTTAGATAACTTTTGTTCACGGCTAGGACTTTTTTGCTTCCAATAGTAGTTGAATTGTACAGGGTGTCCGCTAAAAGGAGGTCAATCCATTAACCATATATTCCTTGAACAAAAACAATATAAGTTTCTAAATACCATTTTTCATTTAAGCCCTTCATATTCGATATACAGGGTGTCAAAGTTGGAAATTGAAAACTGTATTTTTTTAAATACTCGCGTATTTGATAAGATATTAATCTCAAAATTGGTACATTACTTCAGCACAAAGAGTTACATCGTGTGAGGAAAACAAAACAGAAAATAACTGTCAAATATTCAAAATACTGGGGGTCAAGTACAGACTTACCCACATTTTTTTTTGTACGTGCGCTAATGACTTCCTTTCTATTTTTCTTCAAGGGGTCGATCATTTTGGAATATTTTTTGTTTCTTGTAAAATTTCGATTGAATCATTTGTTTTTAAGATAATTCGAAAAGTACTTCTTATTGTTTGATGCCTATGCGGCTTAGGGTAATCTCATATTGTTCACATACTCCTATTTATTTCGTCGAAATTAGAAGAGGGCGTATCTTTTTACGTACGAAAAGGTAAATATGGAAAAACCGGGTGCTCAGAGCAAATTAATGTACTAAAATAATATTTACAAAAAAAAAATTAAAAAAGTGTAAAAATTATTTCAATACATTCGCTCTGAGCACCCGGTATTTCCATATTTACCTTTCCGTACGTAATAAGATACGCCCTCTTTCGATTTCGAAGAAATAAATAGGAGTATGTGAACATTATGAGATTACCATAAGCTGCATAGGCATCAAACAATAACCAGTTCTTTTCGAATTATCTTGAAAACAAATAATTTTATCGGAATTTTACAAAAATCAAAAAATACTCAAAAATGATTGAACACTTGAAGGAAAATAGATAGGAAGTCATTAGCGCACGTACAAAAAAAATGTGGGGGTAAGTGTGTACTTGACCCCCAGTATTTTGAATATTCGACAGTTATTTTCTGTTTTGTTTTCCTCACACGATGTTACTCTTTAGGCTGAAGTGATGTACCAATTTTGAGATTGATATCTTATCAAACACGCGAGTAATTAGAAAAAAACAGTTTTTAATTTCCAACTTTGACACCCTGTATATCGAATATAAAAACTCATATTGTTTTTGTTCAAGGAATATGTGGTTAATGGATTGACCTCCTTTTAGCGGACACCCTGTATATTATCGAGATTAATTGAATATTGTTTGTTGCAATAAATTTGAAATTGCAGATATTTTTTGGATAAGCTACATATCTGAAAACGATTAGATTTCACCAGCAAACAGAGCACAAGACTCACCACCATTTAACAAATAAAATTTGAAAAAAGTCAAAAAAGTAAAATTTTACAAGGATAATAGTTTCATTATATAACATTTTTCTTATATGTACAGAGTAATTACATTCCTTTTAGTAGCAATATACATTTTAAACTTCTATTTCCTCAAAGTCTGATAATCGAAAAATGAAAATAAAAATACATGCCGAGCCTAATATTGTCACTATTTTCAATAAGGTTTAGGAATAATTTCTGTTTAAAGCAAACAAATGTCAATACATCAACTTTGAGCAATGAGTAACAAAAAATATAAACAATAGTAGCAGCATAAAACTGTGGCACAAGAAGTTTCATTGTATAAAAACGTTTACCGGGCGGGCCAAATTCAACACTTTCAAAGGGAAATTCCTATTTTCGAACTAGATTGACGAAAACTGATGTCACCTCCTTAGGATCAACCTTTATGACATTCATATCCAGAGTTATGAGGTATTTTTCAAAAATATTTATTTTCCAAAAATTCGTTCCAACTTCTTCACTGTCAAAAATTATTTGATTCCATGATATCATTTTCAAATCATGAATATAGGAGTTTCCGTTCAAAAGTGTTCAAGTTGGTCCACCCTATACAGATGATTGATTTGTCACGTTTTCAGTGTGGCGGACGATTTGGATGCTGTAGCTGTATTCGTTAAAGAAGCGAAATTTTCAACGCTGGATCAATCGTAAGTGTTTTGCCTTGTTTTTTCATTCGGGAAATTCTGAAATTTTCATTTTGGGATGATGACGGATGTAAAAGTGAATGTAATGGAATTCTATCGAGAATTCATTAAATCATTTTCACAATCGTTTTCCTCACCCAGGAATTGAAAATTTGAAGAAAAATATGTAGTTTAAGTATGGTGAATTGGCCACATCATCCAAAAAAAAAAAATGATTTGGGACTGGAGAGATATTTGATACGAGACGGGGATGAAATTTTGTCTCTTTATTCAAAGAGTTCACTGTGATGATAACTGTACTTTAGACGTACCCATAAAATGTTGAATTTCTATTTCTTAAAAAAAAAGTTTCTTTCCAAAACAAAAAGTTCAAGATATTTCAATCTAGAACAAAAATTTTGGGTCATTAAAAGTTGAAAAGTGAGGGCAAACAATATTATTATTGTAGTAAATTATGTGTATCCTTTCCTTGAGCTGCATTTTGTTGATGAATAGGCACAATAGTGAATCTATGAGAGATTATTAAAATTAGTAAAGAATATCGACGATATATGGCATCAAAAAAGTAGTCTCTCTTCATCCTGAAGAAGACTACTAATTCATGTCAATCAATTTGGAATTTTTAAATAAAATTAGTGATTGGAGGTAAAAAGAATCCATCTAAAGTTGAATCAACGTCAATTGTCTTTGTCATCCACAGAGCCAAAAATGTAGATTATCAAGGGTTTCAATATCATTTCACAGAAAAATCAAATTTAGCATGATTATATTACCTGTTGATCATCGACTTGTTCCAAATAGCCCTAATGTAATGGACATGAGGGTCTATTTACAAACGTAATGATCAACTGATAAATAAATATGCCAACTTTCATTTTTGAACTATGTGATATTGAGATGCCGATAACTGTTTCTTCTCAAGAATGGAAAACATTTCATTATTTATTATTTTTGACAGCGATACTGGTCCAGAAACTCAATTCGAAGTGAACTTAAAATTTTTACCGATTTGGGTTGTCCTTACAGATCGAATATTCCCCGTTTCGCATCGAAATACCTCTCGAATCCGCCCTAAAAAGTCTTTATAAATAATTACAAAAAAAAACATAAAAAAACTGGCTATTCATATATTATATTAAATATGTATATAGAGGTGATTTTGGCAAATGACATTTATGTTACATAGTAAAAAATAAAAAAAAATGAAACGTAACGACACCACTTAAGAGTCCTCCGAACAATGAGATCACCACATACCCCCCAACCGGGGGGCTACGTAACGCTTATAATCGACCTGGTCTCTTTGTTGTTACCGTTACCGTCAGTCTGATCGTTCCGCACGCACTGTCCCGTCAACTGATTCACGCTCAACGGATTGTTCACATCGTGCGGATTCGTCCCCACAGGATGCCGCGCCGGCGGCGGCAACTTGACGTCAAACTGATCATGCGCATGCGGTAACTTGACGTCAAATTGATCATGAGCATGCGGCAACTTGACCTCGAACTGTTCGTGCGGCGTCAGCGGGCTCTGCAGCATGTAGGGACTGCTGACGCTGACGATACTGGGCGAGGCGGCGCTGGTGCTCGGACTGGGCATCACCAGGCCGCCTCCCGGGCTGGTCAGCGAGCTCAGCACCGATAGACCGCCGGGGCTTGACACGCTGCGCGTCGTCAGGCTTTCGGCGTCGTCGTCTTCGGGCGGGGTGTGAGCGTCGCCCATGCTGCCGCAGCTGCCTAGATTGTCGTCGGATTGGTTGCCGTCGTTCGGGTCGCCGCCTGCCTCCATGTATCGTATGCACTTTTTCTTCCGTCTGGAAAAGAATCGCGGTACGATTAGAACGGCGACGAGGCATCGGAGGCGGAGTGAATACGTGCTGCGGACGGTCGGCATGCGGGTCGTGGAGATTAATGGATAAACAACGACATTCTTGATCGGGGCGAGACTTATTTTGTTGTTTTGATGTAAACTACTGTGAGTGAGTGATGAATGGTGAAGGAACAACTTGGATGAATAACATGAGTCGTTGTTCATCTTTAGAAAATCCCCCACACACCACACACATATTCAGAACTGAGGTAGAGTTAAGGCATGCTTTGGTTTTTATAGGATTGAAACAAATGATGCGTCGAACGGTTAGGGTCGTAGAGAAAAATGAATTAATAACGTTGATTTCACAACCATCACTGTTCTGGGAACGTGTGTGAGAGATTACGTACGGTTATTTCTCCACACATGTCCTCAAAGCGGTGTTACTTGAGTTAATTGTCGTAGGCTGGCAGTTAGTGACAGCTTTTCGGTTGTGGTGTTGACATGTCTTCGAGAGGGCTTCATAATCCGTATTTCCTAAAGAGGAAAGGGGTAATTCAGGTCGTCATCCTGGGTTCTTCATATATTCGAAAAAACCAGTTTCCATTTGTTGGCACGGTGACTCCTATACAGTGTGTCCCACTTACCATGCTCACCATGGGTATCTTTTTAACGGTGAGAGATACGAAGTCGGTTAAATGACACCAAATGTGGAGTTTGTCAAGGCCAACTATAATGTGAAAAAATATTTTGATAAAATCTATTCGTTTTTGTTTTATACGCAAAAAACAGATTTTGATCATACTCATATCTCCTCCGTAACTTCTTTATTTATGAAAATATTCAAATAGGAATTTCACATTCTCATTGCAGTTTTTCGAAGTGATTTCGAAAAAAAAATGCAATTTATACCAACTCCTCTAGAATTTGAGATATCAGCACCAACTTTAGTTTTTCAAATGTAGGTCCTAGCTCACTATGACTTAGTTACAAATAACTTTTTAGTTCTCTTACAGGTGATATGTCGCAGTGATAGTTTTGTGTTGATAACAACGGAGTTATCGTCATTCATACAAAATTAAAAAATTATTTGGAAGCCGCCATCTTGAATGGAATCGGACCAAATCTTGTCCGCCATCTTGGAGCAGTCATTTTTTTCAATTTCAACAAAAATTCCATAATGTATTGTCAAAATTTCAAGTTAATCGGAGTTATGGAATTTTTGTTGAAATTAAAAATAATGGCTGTTCCAAGATGGCGGACAAGATTTGGTCCGATTCCATTCAAAATTGGTGAGTGGGGGTTTTTGAGGTCGGAGATCATGATTTTTTTGTTGAAATTTATAAATTCAAGATGGCGGCTTCCAAATAATTTTTTGTTTTTGTATAAATGACGATAACTCCGTTGTTATCAACACAAAACTATCACTGCGACATCATCTGTAAGAGAAAAAAAGTTATTTGTAACTAAGTCATAGTGAGCTATGACCTACATTTGAAAAACTAAAGTTGGTGCTGACATCTCAAATTCTAGAAGAGTTGGTATAAATTTCATTTTTTTTTTCGAAATCACTTCGAAAAACTGCCATGAGAATGTGAAATTCCTATTTGAATACTTTCATAAATAAAGAAGTTACGGAGGAGACATGAAAATGATCAAAATCTGTTTTCTGCGTATAAAACAAAAACGAATAGATTTTATCAAAATATTTTTCCACATTATAGTTGGCCTTGACAAACTCCACATTTGGTGTCATTTAACCGACCTCGTATCTCTCACCGTTGAAAAGATACCCATGGTGAGCATGGTAAGTGGGACACACTGTATATGAAGAACCAAGGATGACACTTCGAATGAACCCCATTCATAGTTGGAAATTACGCATCATGAAACCCTCTAGAAAGACCGGGTAGAATCACAATCGAAAACTTGTCACTACCTGTCGGTCATTTCAACAGGATTGAAGTGACGGTAAGAAGAGTGGCATCGCAAGAAGAATGGACGCATCATAAGAAGAATGGACGCATCATAAGAAGAATGAAGGCATCATAAGAAGAATGGAGGCATAGATGGGAAGGAATATGAGGAATCAAGGAATTACTAGGGTATAAATCAAGGACTGAGAAGCAGTAATATATTATAATATATCCTGAAAATTATAAACTATATAACTATCTTCGACTTCTTGTTTTCATGTTCTGAAGCTGATTCCCAGCGTTTTCATCCCGTCCCAAAATCTTTCTGATCGGCCGCTGTCTCACAGTGACATGCCCCGACTCCTGAAAGTTCCAGTTATTAATGCTTCACGATTGTATCCCGTCCATATACGGGGCGTAACGAATTCCCTCCCCACCTTTGCGACCTCTTGAATCGTGTGAGATACAAAGTCGGTCGAATGGAGACTAGAGTTGAGAATTTGGGAGCTCGTCAAGGTGCCGTTGGTAAAGTTGTTCTACAACTATTGACGGGCCCCCAAATCCCCGACTAGGCCCCCATTCAACCGACTTGGTATCTCCCAAGGTTTACGAGATCCCAATGATGAAAAGCGAATTCGTTACCCCCTATATACGTAACTACAACCATGTAGCATTGGTAACTACAACCTCCACCAAAAGTGGAAATGAGAAATAAAGGATCGATGGGAGGGTGAGAATTAAGCATGCTGCTGTCTCACAACATGCGAGTTATTAAGGAACGTGACCAAGTATTTTTCAGTGTGTTTCACTTCGATTGCCATCTTTCTATCACAGCTTTTTGTCATGCAATTCTAACAAAATTTGGATTAATTTGAACTGAAGAGGTAAATTAAATCACCATTTATTACAATACGGTGAAATTTTACTGTTGAGAGTGCGTAATGATTTAAGACAACGGCTCCATAAGACCGATCAAATTGATAATCATACCAATCCAAATCTTGTTGATGCTATGACTAATTAGTGAAAAAGAATTGGGTCAACTCAAACTGATACGACAGGTTGTATATGCGGTGGATAACATGCGAAAGAACATGCCTGTAAATAGAAACGGATCATTGTGAAAATACAGAGAACACGACCTGGTTTTTTTCGTCACTTCATATTGATGTAGTGTGAATGTCAAGTATTATTTATTTTCCTATAGATCCGGGCAGATCGATTTCAATTTCTGAACAATACCAAAATTGTACATACGCGGTGACTCATGCATAGCAACTAAAAACTGATGTTTGTCAATGAAACACCCTACATTTCTATTTATATTCGCTTAGAGATCATTACTACAAATTCAATGATACCTGATTCGATAGGGCGTATGACCAACATATTATAGGCGAAAAACTTCTCGATACATGAAAATGGTTTTCATCAATATCTTTGTAAGACATACTTTTCCCCCCATCAAGCCCGGTATCGTGGAACTAGTAATGATTGCATTCACACTGCATCATGAAAAGACAAAAAAACTGCGTCTCCAACAAAATTCTTACAACTACAAAATATAAAGATCACAAATATCCACGGAGAAACTCTCCATCCCAATTAGTTATTAAAAACAGAAATGGAAAGCTTCTGGAATGGATTCTCAGAACTCCGTGAGAACCCAGAAAAAAACATCACACAGGAAAAGCAAATAAAAAAACGAACAAAAAACAATAATTAAAAAGAAACGAAAAATCTATCTAACACTGATAAACACCAACACTGCTGTTGACTAACCGACGGTTTGCTATAGATTGACGTAAGTAGGCTCCTGGGGCGACTGGACAGTCGCCGCCCCTCCAGTGGCGTGCAATAGGCCCGCCCCGTGGACCGACGATGACCCGCTACCGCCGCCGACGAGAGTGCCACCCTCCGGGCTAAACAATCGTTAATTGTACAAGGGGGCGCAACATCAACATCCAACACATTCACAAATGCAACAAGCCAACACCAATACGAGCTTCATAATTTCAAGATGTAATTTCAACAAAATGAAAAAAATAATTTGTTTCCGTCATATATCGGTATCATCAATCGAGAAAAATATATTTGCTCAAAAATGTACCACAACTAAATAAACATTGTTCTTTAGTCTGTATCATTTACTGAAAGAATTTGGTAGACACTTTATACAAACTCGGAGTCTTCCATAAAGAACACGGCTACGACAGTCGAAAAAAAATGCTCAAAAATTTACCACAACTAACAAAAGTCCTTATGAGTTACTGAAAGAACGGCACGTATTGGTGAGACACTTTGTAAATACTCGGAGTTTTCCATAAAGAACACGGCTACGACAGTCAGTTAACACAACGAGAGTAATGGAACTGGCATAAATAGGAAGGATCGGATCAGAAAATGTGTCTATGATTTGAACTTGGTCCTTATCTTGGCAGCCCCTTTGCACTTGAAACAATTGTTCTACTCAACAGCAGTGTATAGTGCACAAAAACTAAGCCAATTTTGTCCTTTGGTCTTTGTGGGAAGACACATTTTCTGATTTCGTATATATGGAGAAAAATAAACTGATAAACATCTTTGGAAAGTGTCTCCCGGTATTTCATTTTACAAAAAATAAAATAAAACAACAGTCTTTCCACATAGATTAAGAAACACCAAGAATAAAATAAACGCGCATGGGCTCCACACAACTCTTATGTATTGTGCCCATGTGCAAGTACTAGCAACCAAACATTGTACAACCGTAATATTTGGTTGCCAGTACAGGAAAATACCCACAAAAATAAAGAACAAAAGGCGTGCAATTATAGCTAAGGATTGATGACTCACCTGCAAGGTTTGCACCACTGACTCTGCTGGTCCAATCCGTACCTCGCCCTGCACTTCTTCATGCTGTTGCCTAATTTTCAATGAAAAAAAGAGTAAATTAGTCTTCTTCGAGTCCTGCGAAAAATTCAAATGCCTACCTAAATGCATGCAAGACTGATTCGAATTTCTACAAGCAATAATCAAGATATATTTTTTTGACAGCTATTTGAAAAAAAAATAGTGGCTTAGGAATCAAAGTTTTTGTAAACATTTAAAATAGGTTTAGTCGTTAACAACAATATATTTCAATAGCGAATAAAACTGATGTCACAAGTAAAAGCGTTGTATTTTCAT